TTCACAGGACTCTGACACAGGCTTGTTTATGGACCATTTTTTTGTATCTATTGTTTTAGTATGGTATATACATCTTGAATCTCTGTTTTCTATAGTGCTTCACTATTACTATATAGATTTTTTCCCAATCAGACCTGCCTGAAAAATTGACAGGCAGACTTGTTTGGAGGGCCCTTTTGAAAGGGGCCTTAGAACTTTTCCATGATTTCGACAAAATGCTATTGAGAAGTCACATTAAACCTACGGGAGGGAACTCATACTTGCATAATCGGAGCTGCAAGGATCCAAAATCGATTAAGAACACCTCTAAAAGCCAGTTCTGAGAAAGGATTGTAGAAGAATAGAGGACTATAAAGAACACAGTGAAATCTAGAGGAAGAAGTTCCTGGCTAAGGAAGATAGAAAGTGCTTATTCGCAGTATTTAGTACCTCCCAATGTTAGAAAATTCAGATCAGACCCCCAAGTTAAATAAAATCTAAAATGAAGCACTGCATAGAACGTACCGTAGCTTCCTTGCATTGCAGTGAGTTTTCTGATGCAAAAAAAAGTGTCTAAAGTGTGAATACATAGATCTTGGACAAAAATCCTTTAGAGACAGCAAAGGAGGGAACACTGTATTAATCAATTCCATAACTGCTCCTCTGAACATGTATAGGAGAATGTATCAAAACTGGAGCAGACAAAATCTGGCGCAGTTATCCATGGCATCCAATCAGCTTCTCCCTTCAGTTTGTTTAGTTAAGATTTGAAAATGAAAGAGAGAAGCTGATTGGTTGCCGTGCACAGCTGCTGCAGATTTTGTCTGCTCCAGTTTTGATCAATTATCCTCATAGTGTATTGCCATGTCCAAGTAATTTAAGTTACAAGTTGGACACAGTATTAGACCTTTGAGAACTTGGTTTGTCAAATACTGCAGATTCATTGGGAGTGGCTCATTAGACCACAGTGTCTCAAGACAACTTTCTTTAAATCATTAAAAATTTACAGTAGACTGAAAGATTTTGCTATTGAAAGTATCTTATCCAGGTTCCCTCATGCTGAAAAGTTTCAAAAGTTGTGCATCTTACACCCTTTACACTATGACTTGTTTCGGTTTGAATAAACAACCGGAAATTAGTACTATACTTTAGACAAATACCCAGTATAGTAGAGCTAGGTTTGTTCCCACTACAAAAATAAAATATGGTGGTGTTGCTCCCTTTAGTTTATAGTAAAATAAGTTAAATACGTTTTATGTTATAAATATTGTTTTTTCTCTCCCTCTTTCTCTCTCTATATATATTATATACATGATATATAAACATTTTAGTATATTAATTATTTAGTATATTGCTGATAAAATATGTATGTTTTTGTTTGTTTTGCATCTTTTTTATCCACAAGAAAAGCTCTTTAAATCTTTTATCATTCATGATTCAGGGGAATAATGGATAATTTAATAGATTATGTACCAAATAATAATTTACGTATATTCACTATGTTTTAAATAATTGTTATGCATTTTTTTATAACAAAAAAACATTTGCTATAACTAAAAACGATAATTTCATAACTACAAAACCCCTACGTAAATCCTAATGATATCTTTATATTCTCATTATACATCCATTTTATCATATGAATTTAGCATGGCATGAAGGAAGGATATCCTTCAATATTGCTATGTCAGTGGATACATCATTCATTGAATGACAACAACTTGGTAGAGCAAGCCATGATGTCACGGCTGGCTCTGCCCCGTTGCTCTTCAATGACAGGCCAGCGTCCTCAGGTTATTTGAGGACACTGGGCTGTCATTCATTGACAATAACTGGATGGGGCCGGCCGTGAAGTCACAGCCGGCTCCACCCAGTTGTTTTCATTTCTCATGGACCTGCATGAAGCCTCTGGCAGGTGCGGACCAAATGTAAACAGTTGGGCGGAGCTAGCGGTGATGTCAACGCTAGCTCTGCCCAATGGTTTATAGTTTGCCGGCATCTGTCAGATTCTTAATTCTGCGGTAGGAGCTCGTTGTGTGCGGGACCCTGGAAAATCACCCTCCCAGTGCTGAGAGTATGTGGCCTGTTATGGCAGGGAGGTATTCGCAGACCGTTCTCCCTGCTTCGGCTGTCACTTCGGCTGAGCCGCTTGGCTGCTGTATGGGCTATTGTGAATAAGCAAACTGAAGGGCTCTGGCGACTGAACTGAGCCGAAGGATCAGCCGAAGCTATAGCTAGATCCTTCGGCTGGTAAGAAGTCCAGTAGCTTACTTTTTTAGTTATAAATTATTTTCTAGACAATGCAACTTCAATTTTAGCACTTTTTGGTACTAAAGGAATGTGCAAACCATTTGTGAAATCTATACTGAAATGCTGATAATGATGTGTACACCTAAACAATTCAACGTTGCCTACACATAATGCATTATGAGAGACCCCAGCAGTGTTGTCTTACTCTGGAGTACTGGACACTACCTGAAAACAAAGCACAACAACCAGACGGTACACAAGAAACAATATTCCGTGGTTGTCACAAAATGTGAAAAGAGTAAAAAAAAAAGGATTCCGATTGGTGGCAATAGTCTTTTAAAAATTTAAATAAATGAACATGACAAATAAAAGCGGCAGGCAAATATATAACTAGATGCAGGCACAACTCATACAGGCATTTGATTATGATTTACATCTTGGCTTGACAAGAGAACAAGGTAGAGTTACTATTTAAGCTTGAGCTTAGTGGTCCATTGTTCAGCACATAGTGTTGTTGTAGACCCTCAAGAATGGAGGAAGTTATACATTCGGGTTATGCTCTCTTGCCTCCCAAAAAAAAACAAAAAACATTTATGGCACATGTGTGTAATGTCCTCCCCCCCACCCGCCCCACAAACAACTCAGTTACCCCCACATCAGGCTGGGTAAACCTGACTGTACATTCCAGTAGGGGTACAGAAGCCATCAAGAGTCCAAAGGTTGGAGGATTTGCAAGTCATTTTACTACCCGTCTCTAGCTGGTTGCAGGGGAGTCAGTGCAATGAGATGCCAGACAAGAAAAGGCTAAGTAGAAAGTATACATGGTGGAGGGATGAGGTCAGATACAATTGTCAGGACTGGGAGTGGAAGGCAGTGTTAGTGCAGTGAGGGTATCAGAAGGCAGTGTTGGTGTACTTCATGAGATGGCAGTACTAACATAATGAAGTGGGTGTTATGAATAATATAGTAAGGGTGCTGAAGAACTAAGTTACGGAAGCATGATGCTTTGCCGTGTGTGAGATCAGGGGTTCCAAAGATTACTGATATTACTACAAACGCCATAGTAACCAATGAGTTGGTACTACTTTAGTGCAAATGTGTGGCCAAATACAAGATTGTCAGTTATCCAATACTAAATATTTAGTATTGGATAGTTAGTATCCAAAACTAATATTTAGTTATCTGATGTTTGCATACTTTTAAAACTAGTGGCGAATGTTATGCTGGCCACACATTACAAACAGATAGCAACTCTAAAGAAGATTGTACGAACAGCTATGTAGTGCAAGGGCCTACCCGGTTGTATATTAATGGAATGGGTTGTTTAGGAAGGCATTTGCACTACATAGTTGTTGGTAAATCCAAATAAATTGTACATGTCTAAGACACATGCATTGTAATTTTTTAGCACATGACTTTGATGGCAGAAAATTCAGACCTCTTCAGATTCTTACCACCAAACGTCTGTGCATTGACAAATTATTTCCACATCATGGCTAAATATTGTTTCTCTGATGGCGTTTTCTCTATAATACAATCCTCCATCATGCAGAAAGACTTCTGTGCTTAATGCTACAGCTTTTCATTACTCTAAAATAGGGATGTAGGATACTAGTATCATGCTCCTCACACATGACGAGGGAGCATGGAGTCGGCTTCCCAGCCAATCAGGAAGACAGGCAGCGTGACATTACACACCCCCTGGCTTTCTGATTGGCCAGAAAGCCGGCTTTGTGCTCCCTCATCACCTGGTGACAAGGGAGCCGGCTTCACGGCCAATCAGGAAGCTGGGCGCCGTGTAATGATGCGTTGCCCAGCTTTCTGATTGGCCCGTTTCTCGATCGATCAGGAAGCCGGGCAACGCGTCATTACACGGCGTCCAGCTTCCTGATTGGCAAGAAAGCTGGTTCCATGCTTTCTCGTCACCTGGTGACGAGGGAGCATGGAGACGGCATCCCTGCTGATCGAGAAGCCGGGTGGTGAGTCTTTACACGCCGCCTGGCTTCCCTAACGGGACTTCCGGTAACGGTGAGTATCGTAAAGAAATATCGGTACTCGTACTCGATACAAAAAAAACGGTATCGGTGCATCCCTACTCTAAAACAATCAGGAGTATAGTTAATTCACAAAGGAGTCGTGTGATAACATGAATTATTACTTGTGAGTGTTAGTTTTTGATGTTTATTCAAGAACCACCTTGCATTTTCAGTGCATATCCAATCACACCAAGGAGTTTCAGCACCATACCTATATAAATGGACCCAAAATCATTCTCCTGTAGATTTGAATATTACTGTCAGTGATCAAATCTTTGCAACATCAGATAGATAATAGTCTTGTATATGGTCACAGTTTGACAAGGATTGCACTTGCCTCATTGACTGCTACAGAAATTATGCTGATTGCTAATTTGTTGCAAAATTGCAACATTAGCCCATATACATAATTTATAGTTCACCTTTAAGGTGATTTCTAATAAAGTGACAGTATTAAAAAGTGATGTCCAATTACTTCCACATGTTTGACCAGTGATTTAATGTAATAAGGCAGTGCAAAGAGCAAGGGGGTAAGGAACCCACAGCAACCAGATTTTACCTTTATTGGCTATGATCAGCAAAAGGTGATGACTGATCTGTTCCTATGGTTTAGTACACTTTGCTTTTTTGACTTTAAGAAAATGTCTCTGTGATATTCAGAAGTTGCTAAACTGCCCTTCGGGAATGTAAACATATCTGGTCACTCTGGCACAACATAAATTGACCATAGAAATAATTTTACAGCACTGAGGTTGCATGTTTATAAATATGATTCATCATCATACTTTGCAGGTCAATTTATAGGACCTGTTATTAAGGGGGTAGTGAGTAACCCAAGGCAGTGTCAGTGCAGAGCTGCAGTCAGCGGGCATTGTTCATCATACAGTCAGCAATTTATATCAAGTGTTTCTATTAGAGCCCTGAAGTGCAGATAGTTAAATCAAATAGCTGTTGGCAAGAGAGACTGAGGAGTAAAAATATCAATAGGATATTCAATAAAATGTAAGTAGTGTGCAGACATTGCTGAAACCTGAAGGAATGACAAATGTGTAATGTTTTTGTGTTTGGAAAGTTGTGCTGGTCAAAGCAGTGCGTGTTTGGAGGATGGCAGTATACAACAGATGGCAGTGACTTATGCCAGAGGTGTAAGACACCCTCACCACTTATTTTAAGTGTTGTAGTGTATAGATATTAACGAATACACACGTCTCTCCCCCAACTGTCCAGTTGCACCCTGTTCCGGCCTTCACCTTCATGCCAATACTGATCTCTTCCTTTCCCCTGTGGTCTAGGGGACTCCCTTCTTCTTCTTTGTTGCAGGTTCTCCTGATCTGGACCTAGCTCCTCCCAGGATTCTTGACGCTGAAGATGACCATGTTCCCCACCTTGAAAAGTACCCCCGTGGCTTTTGGGCTCTGGGTCCTCATAAGGATCAGTCTCTATGTCCATGCAGGAGTCTCCTGGCTCTGTGTAGGCTGAGTCCCGGCTGCCCTGTGTCTCCGACTCCAGAGTGTCATGACGAGAGAGGACTCTGGAGCCCAGCTGGCCTCTGCGCAGTTGTCCTTCATACACACTTGTCCGGTCTGTTACTTCTGATCTCAGTTCCCCATGAACCAAGTATGGGCCCTAGTTAGTAATACAGACAAATCATGCAAAGACAGAAACACGTGTTATTTACATGCACAAACTGGAAGGTTAGCAGAAAACAGGAAACATTTGCAATAGACCTTATGGTTATGCATATAATAGTTTGTGCACACAGTATCAAAAAAGCACAGTTTGGTGAAGCAGCATAGCCTCAGCAGATAAATCATTCCCTTTAGGCATGCCGGTGTTCAACAACTAACAATCATGTACACTGGCCCTATAAAAAAAAGGAATAGGCAAGTATAGAAAGCATTTGTTTTGTACCAATAGCATAGTTCCTGTATTACTGACTGCACAACTGTAAGAACAAAATGGGAGGAACTGAAAACTGATTTATGATCTGTCACTGCTCCGGTCGCAGTCATTACGAAGTGGCCTGGGGCAAGGAGTGTACTACTACTTTACGACTATATCAAGATACAATGCTTGTATAAAACTGCATTCCTAATTTGTGCATTTGCCCCAACATGCAGTGTGTCCTGTGGTAACCTCTGCTAGCTGGCAGGAAACCCCTTCTCCATTATTAATGATTATATTGTTAATATAATGGATAAGGAATGGGATATTCTTAATGTATTTGATACTGATATTTTGTTTAACACCCTCCTTCTTTATAAAACAAAATCATTTTTAGTAACAATCATGAAATGAATAATAAGAAAGGACAACATAGAAACAGACAGTAAAAATTATATTGCCCCCTTGCTTTGGTTTTCACTGAGCGGGGTGAAAAATTATTTGCACCCTAGCAGATGCAGTCACTGTTGCAATGAAAGTGAACATTTCAGGTGTCCAAAGGGGCCCTTTTACTAGTTTTTCCAGTATAGGGTATCACTACACTCTGTAGGGACACAATTGGTGCCCAAGGCAATACCCCATCTGCTAGGGTCATAGAACATTTCTCTTTGTTACTCTTAACCTGGCCAAGAATATTATAACAATCCATACAAAAGCTCATATAAGATGAAGATTACTACCGGTGATGTGAACAAAGGTATTGCTTATAATTATGCAGGGAAAAGCTGCCTTTTTGTCCCTGCTGCTGATAGGCACAGGCCTACTTGGTATAATGGTTAATCTGGCCTGTGTGTAGCCCATTCTAATCCACTGTTCAACAGAAGTAGACTCTGACAAGTGTACTATCAACAAGATTTACTAGGAAAGACAGCTTTGTTGAGAACAATAGAAATCTAGAACTGGGTGGAGACAGGGTCAGTCCAACCACAGCTGGTATTTAAGCTTTGGAGAGATGCCATACTGACTAACCCACCAACTTGGTAGCCTCTCTTGACTCTGCTAGCAAGATTTTGCATCAGTGTCCACAGCAGCATTCCCAACATGCCTTTCATTTCAGGAAGTTCTTACTCTGTCACCCAGAATGAAAATTCCTTACCGTTTACCTTAAAAAACATAAGAAGCCAGTTGTTTTATACCAAAGCACAACCTAAGTAAGAGTTATGGATGGACACAATGTGTTAATGTGGTTTTGTGACTCATTTGAAACTATTTCTACCTGTCAGTATATAATGCACTTAACATAAACATATATGAAACATAGAAACTGTAACCAGAACAAATGCAAATCAACTTGTGATGCTTTGACTGATGTCTTTGGGAAATTAACTTGCATGCTGGGAGTCAAAGCATGCTTTCTAGCTTTAAAAACAAGTGTCTAAACCATATAACCAACAAACAGAAAAACATACACATGCATTAAAAAGATTGGTAAGTTTAAATGCAGTTACATGATTTATAAAAGCTTACTAGTGCATTCACAGGAGAGTACTACTGTGCACCATCTATGCATATAAAAAAAGTATTGTGTCTTGTAATAAGCAACTAAGATGTTACCTAAAGCGTGTTTCCACTTTTGCAGCCAAATTGGGATAACACCTATGTTCTCTATATTGACCCTGTCACCTCCAATACAGGAGTTCTAGCACAGCATTGTGCTGGAACTCCTGTGCAAGGTGAGAGGGGAAGACTGCTCTCCCCTCTCACTGTATACACGGAGCGGCAGGGTTACCTCTAACCCTGCCGCTCTGCTCACCGCTCCCCATCCTGAAGACGTCGGCGGCCAGTGAGGAGACGACGGAGCCGGGAGCCGGAGCCAGCATAGAGGGAGAGAGGTAGGTGCAGGGGAGGGAGGGGGGCGGCGGGGGAGGATGGACAGCCTGCAGTCTGATTACAAGTGATCTTGGCGACATCGCCAAGATCACTTGTAAAGAAACAAGTGGTTTCCCCACTCTACATTTAGCCCTGCTTGTGCAAAGCAGGGCTAAATGTAGAAAACAAATTACCGCCTGGCGGGCAACTTCAAACCTGTGCCGCTCCTCTGCTCCGTGCCGCCCCGAGGCCAGGCCTTGGTGGCCTTGTCGGGAATCCGGCCCTGATTGCAACTACTCTTTAAAGTGTAGCTGCACTTTTGCAGCCAAACTGGGATAATAACTACTTTATATTTGTTATATATTCCCATTCATATAGCATAACTTTTAAAAAAATGCTAACATTTTTAAGTGCTTTATACTTGCTTAAAAATCCTACCTAGCTTCCTCCTATGTAACTTTGAGGGGGTTGTGCAAAGTTATTTTATATAGGTAGTTTATCTAATGCACCCTGTCTGTACTGTGCTGACAGATTTCGTTATCAGTTGTATACTAGATTTGAATACTGTCTGTCCAAACAAACAGTTTAAAGCCTTCAAGGCAGTGTGTGTTGATGACAGAAAGCTCAGTCTGACACTGCTTGGAATCTGCACAAAGGCGGTTGTGGTGCACTGCATTAAAAATGTTGTGGCACATCTCATTTTTGGAATGTTTTATAGAATATCAATGGGCCCTATGTTTAGCAGTTTATGAACCACTATACCATAAAGCTCCATCATGTCCAAAAAATGCAGAGCAGTGTGGATTTATGTGATTATATTGTATTAGAACTGAATACCAATAACAGCAACCAAAAAAATCAGTTGCACAACCAATCAGCCTACAACAAAAGTACAGTTCTTCCAAGTGTAAAAATGTATTGTAAAGTTAACCAGAAAATTGGTTTGTAGATGACTGTATTTACCAATAAGAAAGTATGCAGGAATTACCAATACATTTAAAAGTGTACCTAAAGCCTAACAGAGAGAGAGAGACATTTGAGATGGGTCTAGCATTTGCCGATTTGTGAGGTTGTAGCAGGTAAGACAGTTTTTGGCACTCTGCTTGCAAGGTACTCTCTCTTGTTTGGGAAGAAGGCCGATGCAGACTGCTAGTAAAGCTTCCCAGTTCTATTGGCTTTCTTTCAGACATTAGTACTGAACTAGATAGGGAGGGAGATATCACATCAATAAAAGTACTTATCTTTGTAGCTTATCTTCCAGGTAGGGAGATATCTACCTCCTCTTCCATTACTAGCACAAACACCAAGACAGCAGATTATAAATGGTACCTGTGATCATTTACTCTTCTCCAAAGAAAAGTGAAGAAACAGCTCCACTTACAGGGAAATGTTAACAGGGTTATTCACAAAAGGGTGAACAGTTTGGAGAAGGCAGAAGTGAACAATCTAGGACAAAAATTCTTCAATTCAGCTACGTTGTCCTAGATTGTTCACTTCTCCAAACTCTTCACCCTTTTGTGAATAATCCTGTATATAATTGACACCTCTGACTCCTGGAGTGCTCAAAATGGATACCTCTGACATTTCGGAGTGCTCACAGAAACAGCCTAACTGCAAACAATGCTTAAAATCACGAGCAACACTTGATTTTATCAGCATGTTTAGACACGAGGCCAATTCAACCTAAATCTGAAAATCAGTTTTTGGGTGGTACTAGTCAGTTAAAGAGCAGTCAGGAGAGAAATATAATTTCTGCCATTAATTACATCTCCTTCTGAAAATGCTAGGTGTCTGACTTTCATGTTTGCAAGAAAAAAAATCCAAATAGCAGCAGAGGTGCCTGGAAAAAATATCACTCCAAATGAAGAGGGGAAAGACGAGTTTGTCTCTTGTTGGTCAGTAGAAGATCATTAGTTAGTAAAATATACTCTGAATTGGTGTAGTATATAATATTTTACAAATTAAATGATCTTCTACTGACCAACACGAGACAACCTCATCTTTCCCCAGCTAATTCAGTTGATATTTTCCCTGGACACCTCTGCTCCTACCTTCTGGGCTTTTTTTAACCTTGCTACCAGTTTTACTACACCAGCATCGGACTACCACAAAATAAAGGTCCTACACCATCCAAACAATTTGTGTGACTAACCAATCTTAATATAAAGGGCTGCATGGAGACCGATACATTATCCATATGCACTGTTTCAGGTTGCAGACACCTTTTGGTCTCTAGCAACCTCAACCAATTTGAGTACAGATCTTTTATACCAAAAATGAATAATGAACACCTTGAATACTACATGAAAATCCCTCTTGCTCTTCAATCCTTCTTTTCTCTCTTTTTGAAAATTCACATTTTCCTTCTGGAAACACTAGATATTTGCCTATACTGTTGACCTTCTGGTTTTAATACTTTAAATAACTGACCTGGAACAAATATGCATTTAACGACCTAAATGATTAAAGTGACATTAAACCCTCAGATTTTTTAAACCAATACTGTAATGTGTGCTTTACTGTAGTCTGTAATCCATGGGTGTTTCCCTTCTCTTTGCTGCTCTTCCTTTTAAATCCTCATGTCTTCTCATGCTTGGGGAGAACTTCCCTTTTCAGCTCAGGGCCTCTTCCTGTAGTGCTAGCTCAGGTTACAAGCCTATAGAAACTTATACACAGACACCGTGTATCCATTCCTGAGACAAGGCAGTCTGCTGCAAAACAGAAGTTCTGCAGAGCATGAGAACAGATACAGATTTAAAAGGAAGAGCAGCAAAGAGAAGGGAAACAACCAAGGATTACAGTAAGACACACATTACACTATTGTTTTATGTTAAAAAATCTAAGGGTTTAATGTCACTTTAATTATAACAGCCAAGCAACTAGTATTTTCAGAAAAAGGTCAGCAAAAACTGGGTTTGTATGTCTTTCATGACAGCTGTACTTTAAACCTCCTACCAGCTTGTTATAACCTTGAGGGATATTATTGACAAGATTTATTCTTTGGTTTCCCTATTTATTTATGGAGACCATCGTGGATGAGTGGACTTTGGATCTCTGTTAGAAATATCTACCTAATAAATTCTCTATGAGGTTTAAACGGTATACATTTTACCCAGTCATGGAAGATGGAACTACTTCACCAGTTTTGGATCGAACTGGAATTTAAACTATGCATGCTTATAGAGTGGGTTGTATTTTGAAAATTTCCCTAAAACTCAAATTGGGAGTTAGGCTTCTCAGTTTTGAATTTCAAAAAGCTGTGGTGGTAGATGATGTAGCCAACAGGATGGGCTGGGCCAGCAAGGCCTATGTATAGCACGTTATCAATGTAATGCTTTAGTATTAGGTAATTACAGGAGCCAGTGTGGGCAAGGAATGGAACATGGGTTACTAACCGATATGTTAAGTCCATTACAATGGAAAAACAACATAGAATCGTCTTTAATTTTGGGCCGATATATCAAATCACTCAACCAGTTTTAGATGAGGGAGTTGAGGAGGGTGCAGAGTGGAAATATAACTTCCCTTGATGCTTATCATGCATGTGCACTACTGTATTCCATCATCTTCCATCGTTCTCTGACTTGGTGTATGGAAGATTTCCAAAAGTCTTCAATAAATATACTAGGCAAAGGGTGTTGAAGGAAAAAAAGGCCACGAAATGCACAAAACTGTAAATCAGGGAAACTGCAGATCAGCACTGCATGCGTACCCATTTTGTTTTCAGTGAAGCATATTGAGTGGACCTCTTTAATATGAATACACAAAATGAATAAAATAAGATACAAATGATCAAAGAAAAACAATACCAGACAGCTAATAGATGGCAGGTAAAACCTTGTTAATAAAAACGATGAAAAGATAGTATGGAAGAGAGGAGGAGTTGTTGTCATGTACTGATATTTTACAGTAACTGTTAAAGATATAAGGTGATAATGCTTTTGAACAAAATCAAAAATGTATGCATTAGCAAGTACTCTACACAACCCAAGACAAAGGCATGTCTCCCTCCTGTTACATACTGAATCCTGAATTCTACATCAAAGAGGGCCCTCAAATCTGCAAACATACCCAAATTAACATTTCTTCCAATTTCTTTTATGCAATATGAGAGCAGCTAATATTCACTTTAGTGTCTGACACCATGACAAATTGTGCATATTTGCCCACCCTCTGCTTGCCATCATACTGACTAACAGCAGGCCTTGCTAAGAGCAGAATAGGGGGATGTTCAATACATCATATATTTCAGATCTGATCAGCTATGACATTGCAAACAGGTGCAGTCCTTGTTTTTATTTATTTTTCCGGATGTGTGCCTGACTTTTAAAGGAGAACTATGGGGTCAGGGCTTTTCCCCATAGTTCTCCTAAGGGTCACGGGAGAACACAAACTAGAGTCCTCCCGTGACCCAAAGCTTAGTATACAGCGAGCTACAGCTCGCAGTATACTGAGACGCCGCAGCCGGAACAGATCTCGACATTGCAGTCCAGATCCACCCAGCTGCGGGATTGACAGCTGGCTCTGCCTATCCAGAGGCAGAGCCAGCTGTGCCAGCCCCCTCCTCCGTCCGTTCCGCCAGTCAGCGCTGGGGGATCGGAGCGGGGAGGGGATCCCTGCAGGGAACTGTGAGTGACAGTGACGGCTCTCTGCAGGGATAGATTGAGAAGTGAGCGAGTGACGGTATGTGTTCGCTCACTTCCCGATCTACTGAGCCGACCTGTGACAGTTTCATTGTCACAGGTCGGCTCAGATTATGAGTCTGAGTGAAAATCACTCGCCTCATAATTCTCCTTTAAGAGACAAGGGGGATTTTACAGAATAGGTTGCCCTTTAAAGCTGCACTGGCTCTTTAGTATATGTCCACTTTTTTGATATAAATACTGCTAGCAGAGTGTTGTAATTTTTCTAGACTCCAATTACAGTTTACCAAAAACAAATTCAACTTTAACAAACACAAGTGACAGGATATGTATCTGAAGACTGCATGTGTCAGAACTTTTTTAAAGTCATGTGTAATTGCTCCTGTGTTCTATAACATTTGTAGTATATTTATACTAAATATTATACTAATATGTAGTATATTTATACTACATATTTATGTAGTTATCATACTCATCATTGAAAATGTAGGCTTGTGAAAAGCAACAAATTGTCTTAAAACAATACATTCTTTAATCTTGGCAAATTCCGTCCGTTTTTCTACTACGGGCGGACGGCAAGAGGTTAATAACCTTTTGTGGCAGCAATATGTTTTGTAAACATTTCAGCATTTGCAAACATTAAGATTTGAAAATAAATATGAATACTGCTTTTTAGATGCTGTTTTTTTGTAATGTAGGTGGGCTACTATGTCAAGGCAGTAAAAAGAATATTTTCTGCTGGTCCCCATATACATATTTCTCTTCCCCAGAACTACACAGCATGTTCATCAATCTTAGTTGATGACCCTGTTTCCCCACGACCTCCCCACCATCCCAGGTTCTCTTTCAGCGAGGTGAGCACTTGCACCTGTAGATTGGAGACAGGGGCTGGGCTGGAAGCTAGTGCTGCAGTGGCGAGGGTACGGTTCAATAGCGGGTTGGGTGGGTTAATGCTTGGTGGGTGAGTGGCCTTCCAGTATGCCTCTAAATATTCTGCCAGGTGCTCACAGGCATCCTCCAATTGGTTCTCATCCAGAATGATGTCAAACATTTCCTGTGGACATATAAGGGATTATTAAGAGGGTTGCACATTAAACCTTGCAATTATATGTATGGCAATAAAATGCTTAGTGATATGTCTTGGTTACATTTTGTACACATTGTGAGTTCGTAGCACCATACAAGGGCATAACTTTAGCAAATCATTAGATTGCTATGGGGCCCAGAAGCACAAGTGGCCCAGAGATGTCTGGCTACATAGTAATTAATGCAGGTACCAATAGCATTTGGTAAATACATTTGGATACAATTACTGTACATATAGTTCAAGAAAGCGTGAAAATAATAGTACACTCTACCACTGTAGGAATGGCCTTTGAAATGCAGATTAAATGATCCCTTAATGGCTTGGTATCAGCCCTATCGCACATAGTTATAGCCCTGGCACAGTTTCTTGTTACAGAAGATTTGTGACACAATCTAACAGTTTTCTAGGTGTAGAAAAAGCAAACTGGCACCTACTTTAAGTAAAAGCAGTAAAGGGGTAATAATTGCTGTTACTTTCTCTATTTCTTAAGAATGTGTGGGGTTAGGATGCAACCTTTATATGGTTCACTGAACCCAACTGGACAGATGTAGTTGAAGACAGTTTTTAACCCAGTTCTAAACGGTATGCATCTTACATATCCACAAATACATCTTGCTATGTCTACATTGCATTGGGTGTATTCGGTATGTCTCAAGGAGCTGTGTCACATCTAACCTCCATGGCTGTAAACTTTTAAATTAAAATTATCAAATTATTTGCATCGTGGAGAATTTCTGAAAGTCTCAGGCCTTGATCTGAACCCCTTCAAGAGACATGCCTCACACATTGTGAATACACTTCCATGATGCTTGGCAACTGTTTGACGGACCAATGAACGTTGCATTATAATGAGGAACATAAATGTAACCATATGCAGATCTTTACTTGCACAAATATTCAGGAACCCACTTATGAAACTCATTCTGAAACCTCCACAACACCTAGGGGTCTATTCACTAAGGTGCCGTAGGCAGCCGAGTGAAAGACCGATCTGAAGTGAAGTGAGCCGAATACTGTTCGGCTATTCACCTCACGGCTGGGAAAAAAATCCCATTTAAAGCATTGGGACATTACTATTGGCTATTTCAATTTGCAATAGCCAATAGTAAACTAGCATTGTCAAATCTTTTGGAAATTATTGGATGCTGATTGTGTTTGTTTAATGAGCAGGATATGAACCTGTCACAGTAGTGGTGAATTATTTTGTATTCTTCTAACTAGTTATCAGAAATGCACACTTACCGGAGGACACTGTGCCAGTTTATCTGCTGCCACCATCTGTACGTTTAAATGCTTCGCTTGTGACTTTCCTCTTGATTTTATCAGCCTATGTAATACCTAATGAGGTTTAAATGAAGAGAAATCACATTGGGAGCAGTATGGTATATTGCACTGTAAAAGTAGTAGAATTGAGGGCAATGTACAGAGACGTTTCCAGTAAAATGTAACCCTTTTCCCCCTTCATTATTCATGCCAATGTCAGGTTCCTGACTTTTACTGTCCATAAATAAAAGAATCACTCACAGAAAGTCAGCAAAACAGCCTTAACACATTTTACACCAACATGCACGGTTGTAAAAGCTCAGGGCTGGGGTGGAGAGTGGTCACCTACTGGGCAGCAGCAGGATTAGTTTTGTTTGCACCTCCTTTACTACTGCTGACAGGTATGTAATATGAAGTATCATGATAACGATAAATAAGATGTCCTATCCTATATTATTTAAAGCACGAAGGCAGGAAGTGGACGAAAGGTTAGCAGGGAAAACTGCAAGGCTGTGCAGAGTGGACATGCGCTGTTTTTCCCTCAGCAGCGCTATCTGATGTCATATTGCTGATGACCCACTGATTCGTCTGGCACTGCCTGTATAGTTACAGTGCTAGGGTGATGTCATTTGAACAAGACTCACTGCCACTACAATCATGCACTACAAGCACACATTTTGCTACTGGCTGCCAGTGTACCCACACACGTCTCTGTCAACAAACCTGCGCACTTTGCAGAACACCATTTCACCCACACATTTCGCTGTTGACTGCAACTGCACTCGCACAGTTCTCCTCTGACGGGGACTCTACCTACACACTTTTCTAATGACTGCCACTGCAATGGAGCTCTTCTTGATTGTATCAATGCATTTATATACTAACTGCCATTGCACTTTGCCAACCATCACTATACCCACAAAGGTTTTCACTGCTCTTCACTTCTGTACTGACTGCCATTGCACTCACACACTTTTCTGACAACCATCACTACACCATTGCAGAATTTTATTGTACCCACACTCATCACTGAATGCCACTGCAGTGGTACTCTTTTTTTATTGACCACCATTACACCTCCACACCTCTGCACTGACCTCCACTGCATGTCTCCACTGACAGAAGCTAACCACCACTATATCTGTACTGACCACCACTGCACTTATTATTATTGGTATTTATTTAGCGCCCACAATTGAGCCAATTAGCCTACCAGCATGCCTTTGGAGTGTGGGAGGAAACACAGGGGAACATGCAAGCTTCTTGTAGATAGGGACCTGGCCAGGATTCGAACCAGGGACCCCCAGCGCTACAAGGCAGAAATGCTAACCATTATGCCACTGCACTTGCATAATTCTCCTCGAACTACTGAGGCCCCTGCACACTTTTCCATTAACGGACATTGCACCACGCACTTTTCTGACATACACTTCTCCACAGCACCAATGCACTTCACTGAACCCAAGACACTTGGTCACTAAACCACACACTGTTCCATTGACATCCCCTTTACCTGTGTATTTCTCCACTGACCACTAATGTACCCACACGCTGGATACATAGCTGCCAAGGTTTCTTTATTGTACTAATGCAATTCTGCACTGACCGCCACTGCATTAATGCTCTCCCCCAGTGAATGCAACTGTACCACACACTGCTCAATTGACTGCCAATGTAAGAGTAATAGAGTACACTCTATCATTCACCATATAGCACATCTTGCTGAACATTTATACCGCCAGTATTTTTTTTTTTGGGGGGCGGAATATGGTATTTCATCCTGTTTAACAAATGCCCACACTTTTGTTAATGTGTCATTATGAGAACTGTTGTTAGGCCTTGAAGACCATCTGTCCAATCTAGATTCACTAAGAATGAAAATAGCTGATTGGAAGCCCATTTAAAGTCTAAACAAAGGACTGAAGGATCTTAACCCTCTGCACACTGCTACTCACTGCTACTGTACATACTTTAAGCAAAGAGTCAAGTCATAACTTATCCTTCAATGAAATGGACATACACTGAGTGGCGCGATTATTATGACCACCCCATCAGTACTTCGTTGGGCCACGAGATGACTCCACGAGATGACTTCGTTGGGCCGCCTCGTGACTCCACGAGATTTTGAAAGGTGATGAGAGGAATCTGACACTGCACTGTTGCCCTTCTGTTGTCTTGTACCAGTCTTGCCACTCTCCGTTCTGCCCTAACATTGACTAGTCGCTGACGGCCACAATTCGCATGTTCAGACCCAGATTTTCGGCTGACAGTCCAGTCTTTAAACACTTTAACAGCTGTTCTTGAACATTTAACGAATTCTGCTGTTTTGCTGATACTCGCTCCATGGCTCCGCGCCAACAATCATCCCACTTTCAAAGGCTGTTAAATTGCATTGTTTATCCATATCTTCAGAAACAAATCACTTCTACTGTCGTGGTAAACAACCTGTTGCCTTATTTATAATGGTCTGACCCTCTAGCAACTTCAGCGCAAAATTATAGCTAATTAGCCTACAAACGTCAGGTGGTCATAATAATCTGGCCACTCAGTGTATAAGGGGGTGTGACCATATGTTAATATTCAAGCTTCTTTCATTCAATGTTGCACAGTTGTACAGGCTCCTCTTCTGTACTTAAATTTGTTACTCTGTTTTCACTGTATAATTGGTGAGCTTCTCACTACAACAAGTCAGGGAGAGCCAACCTTAGTCCCAGCCGGACTGTCCTGGCCTGCCCCTTTCATTCATTGGATTTAGTTCTTTCAATCATGGAGGCCCAGCATCACACATTGGCATTATCTAGGGTGTTCTGCATGCAGATGCCATCTTCCCAGGAATACCCACTTCTCCAGACTGACACCCACACATAAAAAAAAACACACAAAAAACAGCTTAAATCCAGCCTGAGGCCTCTTGAAAAAAGTACTGAAGTAGGGTGCTGTGATGTTTATCAGGAAGTTATGCACAGCAATTTATTGGCTCCCCCTATCATCTGCCTGCATTGCATAGAGAAGCACAGAGAATGTATGTTCTGTTTTTAATTTAATTTGCATGTTAATAAGGGGGAAAAGGAGGACCCAAGGAAGGCAATGATAAGCAGATACAACTTTAGCTTTACAATTTTTAGGAACCTTTTGCACCCTGCTATACTTTCTTACATACTTTAAGCAAACTTTGGCAAAAAAACAGAAATTATTGGTTTACATACCCAATGCTTCTAGGTATGCTCCTTGCAGCACAAAATGCTTTGGCCAAGTTTATGTGATAACCCTGTCACATGAGGGGAGCATAAGTGGGTGGGGCTGGAATGTTAAGAGACTCTGACACTTTGTCCAGAAATTTAGGGATTAAAATTTAGGGATGCACCAAATGCTCCGATACCAGAGCTACCGGTCAGAGGGAGATTCTATGCACCCTTGCGACACTGCCGGTCAGCCTGGCTTCCTGACCAATCAGGAAGAAGGGCGGTGGGTCATGGCCTGCAACCCGGCTTCCTCATTGGTCAGGGAGCGAGTAGGCAGTGCCGCGAGGGAAAATGAAGACCCTAAAAAGTTTTGCAACTCCACCAAAGCCCCCCTTCCGGAGCTGCTCGGGGGCAATGTCAGAGTGTACAGGCTGACCTTCTTCCAGACATCCCCCAGCGACCAGTTTGTGTTTTTATTTTTGGAAGGGTGTGACTGGACACAGCGAGCTGTTATCCATCAAAGATCATTCAGCTGCCTATCATGTCATAGAAAAGGTAAGTGAGCAATGGACATGTGCAAAGCTTCTTTTCCCAGTGCAAAGTCCTGACACAATCCAAGGCAGGAGCCTGGACTGTGTGCATGGCCAGCAATCACAACATTAAAATCAGCAGAGTCAAACTTGCCTTGTCTTTCCTTCTCCCCGGCTGCAGCTGCTGCACAGGGCTGCCATCAGAAATAACACTATTACAACTTAATATATGAAACTGTAATGTGTATTCCAATGCACAGGTAACACTGACTCCGCTAGGGCACACCGCACAGGAAACACTGACTCAGCTGGGGTGACACTGCACAGGTGACAGTTACTCCACAGGGGGGGACACCACACAGGTGACACTGACTCCCCTGCGTCGCGCCCCTAGTCAGCCTTGAGCATCTGCTGCTGTCCACTGCAAAGGCTCTCCCCCCGCCACCCAGCGTCGGGCCCCCATTTTGTCGGCTAAAACATAAGCTCCGTCCCCTGAAAAAACAAACCTTCCTGCTCGTACAGGAAGGTACCAATTGTACAGGGAAGGGGGAACGTACCTAATATTTTATAGCATGAATTCCTTGGTTGATGTCCGGGCCCCCCGAACTGCTGGGGCCCCTTACTTGAGTGCTGGCTGTACCCCCCTTATGGGGGCCCTGCTGCTACAGCAACATCTGACAGCGCAGCGGGAGAACTGACACTGCTGCACTAGGAGGAGGTTGAGGAACCTCTCACGTAGCACAGCAGAAGGCACGTAGCGACCCACTTAACATGGTGTTGCGACCCACTTAACATGGGGTTGCGACCCGTAGATAGAGAACCACTGCTTTAGATGGTATACTGCAAGTTCTCCCAGGACTGTAAGTGGACCGCATGTTGGCAAGGCCCACAGGACCGCTGCTCTTGTGCTTATAATCTTGCACACCAGGTATGTAAGTAAGGAATTCCCACAGGAGCAGGGAGAGTTAATGTCATCTGTGACTCATCACTGCAGGAAGCAGGGAGCCCAAGTAACTGTCCTGGAGTATCGATGTGTGGGTGTGATTTAAGAGATGGGGATAGTGACCTGGCTTACCACAGCGGTGGTCCTGACACATTTTGAAGTCCCCACCAAGCAGGTTAAAGATGTCCGGCAGGATCCAGGATACATGCCCCATCCCAACAGCCACATCCTTCTGGCAGGCATACTCCCTAAGTCATGGACAGGTCTCCACCAGAGTCTTGTGGCCACTTTCTGCAGCTCTTCTTCCATGCATTATGCTGATGTATTCTACACACAGCCATATCTAGCCAAGAGTACCTTTCTGATGTTATCTCCTCTAACTCAACTACTCTAAGAAATGGGCCATTTCCACGACAAAGATTGCAGCACACAATTACAGCACACAATTACAGCATAGTTGTCAGCATATACATTTTTGTGCGCTCCATAAGATACTACCTGACACAGTTGTCCAATAATAGATCATTGACCTTTACAATTCTTGCACTTACTTTAGGAGAAGTGATCTTAATGTAGACAATAATGGGTGCAAGTGACGTTTTGGCAAGCTGAGCAGGGTGGTTAATGGTGTCAGCATCAAGAGCAACCAGTTGAAGGGTTCGGGCCAACTCAAAGATACGCTCGATCTCACTCTGTACCTCCGCTTTAACCAATAAAGAGGGAGAACAAATGAAATTAGTAAAGAATATAGCATAAATATCATGACAGTCAAATTCATTTGCTTCAGTTCTTTGAAGGTGAAATGCAGATTATACCATGCTATGTTTAAAACAATGCTCGAGCTCCACAGTTACCACTGCTACAGAGCATTCAATAAGAGCAATCTGCATCACAGTGCAGCACAATGCTTTCATATGTGACATATGAGCTCCAACAGCCATGGTAAATAGGGTAACAATGGATCTGCTTATTCCTGCAAGCAACACATCACTGCAACAGTGGCCTATTGTTTTCTGATGACAATGAGCAATAGATTACAATATGTATGTGATCTGTTGATGCAGAGGTGCATAGGGAAGGGGGAGGAGGGGCAGATTATGTAATCTCTGCTTTAACTCATAACTACTATGAAGGCAAAAAGAGAAAAAATAAATCAGAATGATACACAATTTAATAAATAAATCATTATCTCCTCTACCAATATTTCCCACATTGAAACAAATACTTTGTTCTAGATGACATTTGCGTATACTGTGTGAGCAAAATAAATTCACATACGCAGGTGCAATGTAATTTACATTTTTTTGTGAAATAAAAATTATTAATCCAAATCTGCTACCAAATTGAAGCATTATCTGCCCTGAAATCTATTTTACGTATGGACAGACTAGAAAAGCTGAAGATTATAGAATACAAAACTAAGAAATCTAAAAAAAAATCTCTAGGATAAAGAGGAGAAAAAAGGAACTAGGGCTTAAGTGGATAAGCAAATTCAATGTAAGGATGTAAATTACACTTTTTTGTGTGTTTTTATTTGCTCCAGTGTAGCCCAGTCTTTGGACATAAGATGATTTAAAGCTCTAAATATCACTTACCAGCACACCAAGACTGATTTACTGCTGCCAGGTTAGGACATGATGATATTGAGTTTTATTCCCCCAGTTTCCTCTCAGAACAATGTCAAATAAAATATTTGTGAGCTGTTGGTTCAATCACATGCAGCAGGAAACCAAATGTTGAAGCAGCAAAAAATTAAGCATCATAATTTGCATTCTGTAGAATGTACAGACTTTATCTTTACATTCTCAGAAGGTTCAAGAAGAGATTGCATAAATCTATGGGTGACAAACATATATTTCAACAATGTTCTACTTTAAAGAATACTTCTGGGAAAATAAAAAAAAAGTACCTTTGCAATGGGGCTACCCCCCCGCACTGCAAGGGTTAAGTGCTCATTTTGATCCTCAGTCCCCACAGCTCCCTACTGGCTACTAGACTGGTCCCTGCAGTCTCTTCTACCCTGAGCTCCGATGGTCTAAGGAACGCTGACGTCAACATGTTTTATCCAAGTCCATTGACCTGTATTAGCAGCAACGGAGGGGGGAGAGGTTAGTGCTGACGACCAGGAGATGGAGGATCAGGTGAGTATATCTGCTTTATTTGAGTCCCCAAAACAAAATGAGCACTTAACCCTTGCAGAGCAGGGGTCGCTACACTGCAAGGAGACGTAAACCCTAAACAATTGCCTTTTTTTTTTTAAACTACTGGTTTCTACTACTTTTTTTTCCATCCTTTGTTGCACCCTAGTGCTTCTGATTTACAGCAGGCTCTACTTAGCCACTTCCTGTCTACATGCATTTCAAAGATAGCTGAATGGCAATAAAGCATTTCTCAGGGATAGTTTCCTGATGGTGACAGTCAACCATGCCTACATAATGTTTGGTGAATCTGCCACTTGTAGTATCTAATGAAATCTCATGTGACATGGCAACAACATAGGAACACAGCTGGGAGACAGGGGTTTGTCACCCTTTAACAGAAAGTGTCTAAACAAGGACATTCATTGCGAGATTATTTTAATGAAAGCTGCAGATTTAAAGATGTATACAAGTACAATGTATATATAGATATATATATACCTAAATATATCTATATATATACCTAAATATATCGATATATAGATATATATATATGTAATATATCTATCTGTCTATCTATCTATCTATATCTCTATATACTTAAGATTCCCATGCAAGCACTGTGCAAGACTAGACATTTCACTCAAAATAAATCACTTATGGGAACCAGTAAAAATGTTAATGAGTAGGTGTGACCAGAATAGCACAACAAATAAAGAATTAGAAAAGGTGGAAAGAAAGATATCTAAATTGCCAAGATAAAGATGATGGCAAATATGTCACAAGTACAAAATGTTGAAAAGGCTGATTGCCGCTGATTTTATTTTGAATATTATTGTTGTAAAGAAAAAAAAAATGCTCATTAGTGATTCTTATCCCATATGGTTCTGTTTTTTTTATCATTCGCTTGTTTGCAAACATCACGTAATTTCATGTTGTCATTCACTTTGTTAGTGTATTAAGGTTTACTGGACACTCACCTAAACTGGAACGTGTGTTAGACCTCTCCATGATATTGTGCTTGCTAGGGTTGTTCAGGACAGATCGTTTGGCAAGAGAGATGTCAGCAGTAACCCGGGTAATGGAGATTCTATAGAAGAGTTAAACCATAAAAGCAATTTGTTTCATTTGGTGCTTTAAAGATATGAATCTCGATGATAACATAGAAAAAAAACTTGAAACCAACCTGTGAGTTCCTAATTCTGCTAAAGTAACAGCTGATAGTATGTATATGAAAACAGTAACTTTGAGAAAGTCTCTGTTTGCATAACGGCTCTGGTAGGGCCCTAGGTAACACTGAAGGGAGAGAGTCTACAATAGAAATTATCTGACGACAGATTATTACCCTATTAAATTATTGAGGTCACTTTATGGGGATTTACTAAAAGGTCAGTCCAAAGCAAATATATTGTTTTTGGTGGATCTTGGAGAGTTAAAGCAGAACTGATTTTCATTTATTTTAGCCCCCTTTAAACAAAATTGCTAAGCTTTACATACCCTCTCCAAGCTACAGTCCCTAGCTTCCTCCTTGATCCTTTGCTGCTGGTCTTCAGACAGAATTATAGGTAATGCCATTGCACCCGTTTTCCTGTGATCCCAGCCTGTGGCTGACATACCCCCTAGCGGTACGTAGCTTGGGCTCACAGTACTCCACGACTGTGTTTGCTGCCCAGACTAGGAGGAAGGCCCAATCCCCACCGAGAATAAAGAGGAAAGACCCATGACATCATCAGATTGGCTAGAAGATTGCAGGAAAAAGGCACGTATAAGGCAGGAAAAAAAAGAGGGGAGGGGGGCAATCAACACTGATAGTACTGCTTTAAACAGCCACATGCTTTCTTGCATCTATCTGGGACTCTGGTGTTTAGAACTATATGCTTTTTAATTTATATAAAGGAAATTAATGAATGAGTGAATCCCCAGGGCTGAGTCAAGGAGCGGCCGAAGAGCTACCTTGGGCACTTCAGCAAGGGGGGGCACATAAAGGGCAGGACCTGTTACCTATGCTGCTGAAATAGTTACAGCTTATGGGGGGAAAGAGTAGAGGTACAGCCCCAGCTGCTATTAGAAAGTAATTCAGCAGAAAGGCTACGTAATAAATCAGAGATATTCTGTTTTTGTTGCATGTGACTACACAACCCATTTACTACTGTATATATACATACTAGGGATGCACTGATACCAATACTAGTATTGGTGCCGATACCGAGTATTTGGGCGAGTACTCGTACAAATGCTCCGATACCCTTCTGATACTGGAACTCCCGGTCAAAGGTAGATTTCCTCTGACCGGCAGTACCGCAGGGGAATATGGAGCCGTCTTCCTAGGCAATCAGGAAGCGGGGCTGCAAGTAATGACAGCTGGCTCCTTGCTGATTGGCTTCCCGGCCAATCAGCATCGAGCCGGCCACACAGCCTGCCCCTTGTTGATTAGCTGGGAAGCAGGCTTCCTGGCCAATCAGGAAGTCGGGAGGCGGGTCATTACTCACCGCTCGGCTTCCTTAATGGCCGGGAAGCCGTTTTCCCAGCCAATCACAATTGAGTCAGCCAAACAACATGGAGCCGGCTTCCCGGGCAATCAGGATTGCCCAGGAAGCCGGCTCCATTCCAGCAGAAGCACCGGTATCGGTACTCGGTATCAGCGAGTACCAAAACCAAAATATCAGCACTCGTACTCGATGCAGAAATGCTACTGCATGTTTACTTGGGTATGTATGTAATAGTACTTGAAGCACTATTAAGATGATGAAATGCCTTAAAAAGCTCAAATTAAATGGCCAAAAATAGTGCATTCTGTGTCTTAACAAAGCTAAGAAATACTGGGATATGTATGTGAACTCTAAGCAATACGGCCACGTCACCTGAGCAGAAAAATCTCATCGATTACCAATGCAATATCGGTTTCTAAGAGAACTGCTTTTCTTGTAACCATTGCAGATATTCCTTGCTTCTAAGCTCTAGTTGCCGTTTATGAAATCATTTTCCCCATAAAATTTGTAGGTCATTCTCAAAGTTGTTGCATTTAAAAAAAAATAAAAAATATTCAGTCTTTTTCAGTATAGCGTGCTGTAACCAACACTTATGAATCAATGATCTCTTATTGACTCCGGTAAGTGGAGATTCAGAAATACCCCACAGATCATTAGCGTTTCAGTGACTGGGGAGTAGCTGCATAATCCATGGATTAAAGTATCACATGGGTTGGTAAGAACAGCTATACCAATATTCATGTATAAATAGTCCCCATTTATGCTGAGTTGGTGAGAGTCAGAGCTAGGAATGTTGTATCAGTATAACTTGCATGGCACTGCTGTTTTTGATCATTGCACAGACACCACTCCAAGGATATAAAAAAAAATTGTGTATTTACATAACATTATGAGACCTTTTAGACTCTTGTATTTCAAAAATAGTGGTAGATTTAAAGATGATTGTACAATAAGATTGTATGGTGCATGGTTAGCTTAACAAAGTACCTGGGAAATATAAGAAACCATTAGCAAGGTTAACTCTTCAAGATCTATTAAACACTTAAATGATACATGTGACCTTATAGTTTAATATTATGCAATAGTAACAGAACAATACAGTTGCATTATTAGAAAATTATGCCACAGCGACACAGAAGACAAAGCAATTATTACTTTTCTAAACTTACTAGTCTTTCTAACTTACATTTTCCAGACAATAATTACCATAACTATATATTATTTAAGATTTTTTTTTTCTAGTTCCAGTTCTTTCCAACTTAATACTTTGTTTATAAGAAATCCCATTTTGGATCAAGTATTATATTAGCTGTCCTCGGCTGTGCTATGACTTGTATTCATGACATACATATGTATATATATATATATAAAATGACAGCGTAATACCTTCCATCAAAGCGATGCTTCAAGAAGTCAAACAAGGCTTTCTGCATCATGTCTGTGACCTGCAGGCAAATACAAATATCTGAGAGAACTAATGACAGTCAGTAGCAACTTCACTAGTAGCAAAAAAAAAAAAAAATAGAACACAAAAAATAATATATGGTGCTGCAAAGGTGTGGGGAAGTGTGGGGGAGAGAAGTTAAGCAACTTTATCAGATAGACTGACACTAAATCTAGCCATACACTGTTATAATTGGCCTCAAATGAATTCCGAATATATACTTTATAGTATACTGTATAGTGTATAGCACATTAAGGGATGGAATAAAGCTATTAGAGTGACTGGAAACGCGTTGCGACATCCATTGATGAAATCTGCGTCAATTGCGATGTCCAGAGCTTAAATGCATGTCAATCGCGATTTTCAGCGACATAATCTATATGAACCATGGAGTCCATTCAAAAAAAAAAACAGGTTGATCAGCGCACAAAATAGTCTATCACAGAAGTAAATAAACACTGTTTAGACCTAGCCTGCTTGTAATGGTGACTGTGCTTACATGTAAAACAACCAGCCAACCAGAATTCAACATGACATGAAAATAAAAAAGGAGATTGCTCCACAGTCTATGTATGTTATCAATAAAGTTTGTTTAAAAAAAAAGAGCTAGTCTAGAGCAGGGGTAGGCAACCTTGGCTCTCTAGCTGTACTGAAACTACAAATCCCATTTTGCATTCTACCTCTGGGAGTCATGCCTGTGGCTTGCAATGCCTTATGGGATTTGTAGTTTTAGCACAGCTGGAGAGCCAAGGTTGCCTACCCGTTGGCTGGAGAAATGTGTTATAATAATTATAGTATAAACATATATTTATATATAATTTTTTCACCTCTCAATGGCCGATTGGTATAAAATCTAAGCACACAAAGAAGATCTGCTAACACTTGTCGGGAACAGCTTCTATATTTTGACTACAAGGATGTGAAAATGAGGCCTACATATTTACAAGTCTCACAAGATAGTGTTCCTAGTAAGGTTACTAGCCACTGCCAGGTTACTGGTAGCGTACAGATTTCAGCTACAAAAACACTGGGTGAAAAACAGAATACCTGGACAGGATATATGTTCTGGATGCATTCCAATGCTTTAGTATAAAGTGCACCTGTGCCCAGACTATGGACATTGAGGCCTTATCCACACCGAAAGCTGTGCATTCCAGAGCGGTAGCTGCTTGAACACACTGCGATCGCTCACAAATCTTTCCCCTGCATTCTGTGGCAGGAGGGGGCGTGGCAGTGCATTGAATTCAATGGCACAGCTTCCAGGCCCCCCTCGCAGTGCGATCCGACGCGTGGCAAAACTTTGCCTGCGTTCCGTTCCTCTGCAAATGCAAAAACTAGGGCTTGCAAAAGATGTCACAGGTCGGCTTTATTGATCGGGAGGTGAGCAGAAACATGCAGCCGATCCAGATCGTCTCCCTTTGCGCTATGTTTTTTTTTTTTGCCAGAGGATCCCGACATGGCGCGGCACCTCAGGCAGTCGCCGGCCAGCTAAATTAGGACCCCACCTGGAGCTCCTCCCACTGGACCAGCGCTGACTCGCCGCTGCTCTCCTGGGCCGAAGGTAAGTGAAAAAAAAAACCATAGCGCAAACATCGGGGCATTTTGACAAGTACAAGTACTTGTCAAAATGCCCTGTTTTTACAGGGGGTCGGGGTCGGGGAGGGGGCGCAAAAATGCACCTTGCCTGTGTAGGCAAGAATCCTAGCACCGGCCCTGGAGACAGCTGTCACTCACGCAGCTGGGTGGATTACGACAGTATTGTCGGGATCCGTCCCGGCTGCGGCGCTCACAGTATATTGTGGGCAATAATTCGCTATACACTGAGCTTTGGGTAATGGGAGGAGGTTAGTATATGTCCTCCCATGTCCCTAAAGAGAACTATGGGGAAAAACACTTACCCCATAGTTCTCTTTAAAGTGCAACAGACAATATCCTAATACATTAGATAATATTAGGTTTAGTCGATTCTAAAAGGCACATTCATATTACCTCATAACCTTTCAGCGAGGGCCCAACTAGAATGATTGGCCTCATTGAGGGAACCACATCATATGGAGGGATGTGCTCGGTCTGCAAGAGAAATAATGGCTTAAACCTATGTACACACTCTTAATTTTCATATACTGGGCATCATGCAGATCACTTAGGCATACCAACTGTCCACAAACACTGCATATCATGCTGCAATCAGGGTCCAGAATACAACAGCGCAAGACAGCATACTAACAAGAAGCCACTTAGCCACAATTACTTACCGACTTCTGCCTCTGTTTTGCTATATGCAGTCAGTGAAAGAAGCAGAACAAAAACAAGGGTGGAGCAAGGGTTAATGTTGCAGTAGATGAAAGAAGACATAGTAACGGGAAGGGTCAAAGAAAAATGAAAAGTGAGTGGTGATAAAAGAGAAGAGAAAGGTAGAAAAAAAAGAAAAGAAAACAAATCATGCCTGTTATTACCATAGTCACTAATGCAAAGTGTGCAGAAACATGCATTTATACACAAATATTTACTTATTTAATGTGAATTCAACTAGATAAATATAAATTTTTAAGCCATGCTCATTCCCTGCTTAACATTAACCTTCCAAAACTATCCATAAATGGAAGAAATAAAAAACAAACACATTTTCTTCCCTTAACGATTCTCATTGCAGCACACTGTGGGTAATCTTTAAGTCTTTGTCCACTTTTGCAGCCAAATTAGGATATTACCTATTTTGTATTTGTTATACAACGTTCCCATTCACATAGCATGCCTTAAAATATTTTAAAATAGCTACTGACCTTTATAAATGCTTTTTACTTGTGTAAAAACCCTACCTAGCTTCCCCCCTATGTAATGTTAAAGAGGAGGCTGTAGGAAGTTAAAGTGACATTAAACCCTCAGATTTTTTAATATAAAACAATACTGTAATGTGTGCCTTACTGTTATCCATGGTAGTTTCCCTTCTCTTTGCTGCTCTTCCTTTTAAATCTCAGGGGGTCGGGGTCGGGGAGGGGGCGCAAAAATGCACCTTGCCTGTGTAGGCAAGAATCCTAGCACCGGCCCTGGAGACAGCTGTCACTCACGCAGCTGGGTGGATTACGACAGTATTGTCGGGATCCGTCCCGGCTGCGGCGCTCACAGTATATTGTGGGCAATAATTCGCTATACACTGAGCTTTGGGTAATGGGAGGAGGTTAGTATATGTCCTCCCATGTCCCTAAAGAGAACTATGGGGAAAAACACTTACCCCATAGTTCTCTTTAAAGTGCAACAGACAATATCCTAATACATTAGATAATATTAGGTTTAGTCGATTCTAAAAGGCACATTCATATTACCTCATAACCTTTCAGCGAGGGCCCAACTAGAATGATTGGCCTCATTGAGGGAACCACATCATATGGAGGGATGTGCTCGGTCTGCAAGAGAAATAATGGCTTAAACCTATGTACACACTCTTAATTTTCATATACTGGGCATCATGCAGATCACTTAGGCATACCAACTGTCCACAAACACTGCATATCATGCTGCAATCAGGGTCCAGAATACAACAGCGCAAGACAGCATACTAACAAGAAGCCACTTAGCCACAATTACTTACCGACTTCTGCCTCTGTTTTGCTATATGCAGTCAGTGAAAGAAGCAGAACAAAAACAAGGGTGGAGCAAGGGTTAATGTTGCAGTAGATGAAAGAAGACATAGTAACGGGAAGGGTCAAAGAAAAATGAAAAGTGAGTGGTGATAAAAGAGAAGAGAAAGGTAGAAAAAAAAGAAAAGAAAACAAATCATGCCTGTTATTACCATAGTCACTAATGCAAAGTGTGCAGAAACATGCATTTATACACAAATATTTACTTATTTAATGTGAATTCAACTAGATAAATATAAATTTTTAAGCCATGCTCATTCCCTGCTTAACATTAACCTTCCAAAACTATCCATAAATGGAAGAAATAAAAAACAAACACATTTTCTTCCCTTAACGATTCTCATTGCAGCACACTGTGGGTAATCTTTAAGTCTTTGTCCACTTTTGCAGCCAAATTAGGATATTACCTATTTTGTATTTGTTATACAACGTTCCCATTCACATAGCATGCCTTAAAATATTTTAAAATAGCTACTGACCTTTATAAATGCTTTTTACTTGTGTAAAAACCCTACCTAGCTTCCCCCCTATGTAATGTTAAAGAGGAGGCTGTAGGAAGTTAAAGTGACATTAAACCCTCAGATTTTTTAATATAAAACAATACTGTAATGTGTGCCTTACTGTTATCCATGGTAGTTTCCCTTCTCTTTGCTGCTCTTCCTTTTAAATCCTTATCTCTTCTCATGCAGGGGGAGAACTTCCCTTTGCAGCTGAGTGCCTCTTCCTGTAGTGCTGGCTCAGGTTGTGAACCTACACACAGACACCATGTATCCATTTCAGAGACAAGGCAGTCTGCTGCAAAACAGAAGTTCTGCCCAGCATGAGAAGAGATACGGATTTAAAAGGAAGAGCAGCAAAGAGAAGGGATACAACCATGGATTACAGTAAGGCACACATTACAGTATTATTTTATGTTCAAAAATCTGAGGGTTTAATGTCACTTTAAGTTTACTATTATTTACGCTGTCTGTACTGCTTTGCAGGTTTCATTATCATTTGTAAACATGATGTGAACACTGTCTGCCTTACAAAGGGTTAAAGACTTAGAAGCATTGTATGTTAATGAGATGAAGCTCAGACGGTCCCTCTATGTTCACTTTCAAACAGCTCAAAGTAGCCTGGAATCTGCACAAAGGCTTTTACCAAAGAAATATATTTTTAAAAACAATTTTTAGGTATGCTGTGTGAATCGGAACTAATATAGTGTTTTCTCAAATTTGAATGCCAAAGTGGAACTACACTTTATTACACTTTATTCAGTCCTTAATTGTCCCTAAACTGATCCATGCCATTAGTCTTGTTACCCCATCTAACAGTACCCTTTCATAGAGATTGGTAAAAGCTCTTTATTGCTCCCTCTCTCATAGCACATCTCTCTAGCATTAAAGCAGCTGAATTAAAATCTGTGGACACCTTCTTTCCTCTGCATATCTGTACAGAGTCAAGACAGATATTTTAGGCCAAAATAATGATCATTTGATCAATTTACCTGGGCAAAAGTTACCCTTTAAGCTGGAGCGAATTTTGTCTAGAATCGGCTGAATCTCAATCCGTGAATGGCCCAATCACCTTCACAACAGTCGATTAATAGCTTGACTTGACAATAGCCAATCTATAGATCTACTTTTGTCAAAGGGACATGCTGGAAAATCGTTGGCCAAACAGTGCTTGCAGCCAATCAGCAATCACAATGTACACAGCAGGAATTTTTTTCATCCACGCTGTTATAGCATGGATGGAGGAACCTGCCAAAATGAAGAAAAAATGAACATGTGTACCCAGCTTTAGTCTTTATTTATTGAATTGAAAGGCTGTTCTTTTTATGATAATTAGGTAAAGTCCAGCAATTAGATTTTGCTGCCTTTATCTGCATGGATGACAGTTACACTTGCACACCTGGAATTTGGACAGTTTAGTGTGACAACATAGCTGTTATTCTAGGAGTTAACGTGTATGTACAGCCAAAACTTTTTTTTATAGGCCAGGTAGGATGGGGTGGGGTAAGAGCCCATGTCAAGTTTTTATTGCTTACCTAATCAAACCAGAAAGAGTGTCAAACACAAATCTCAAGAGTCCAAGGTTGTCGTAAAGGTGGCAGCATGCCAGCATGCTTCAAGGGGGCCAAGCAATCCCACTGCATCAGGGCTTTAAAAACAGTCTTATAAATGTTGGACTCAAAGCCTGGGTCATTTGATCAGAGCCAGAGGTATTGGGGGAAAAAAACAATGATTTAATGTGTAGGACAGCCATGTAGCATCCTACGTGTTTATTGCTGTCTGTGTCCTACAGTTAAGATTCAATTTTTTTACTTGTCATGTTGACTACAGTCACCGAAACGGAAAATGATTAGAAATCCAAAATTTTACAGTTGTCCCCAGAACAGGAGTAGAGGGAAAATCTTCTAAAAGGGGACACTTGTTCTCGGAACAACTGTTTAAGAGGAGAATTCCCCTAAAAAGAGATTTACTATAATTTCCTGTTCCGTCTCCACAAAATTAAGTAAAGGGTAAACTCATCAAAAGGGAAACAGACAGCAAAAGATTGACTGACAGGGGTTTAACCAATTTCTACTGCATCCAAAACTAAAAAAAGGTTTGGGGTACATATGCACTTTAAGGCTCCAGAGAGTATGCAACAAAGTGAATGTGATGGCATCACATGCTGCTGTTACATAGTTAGTCAGGTTGAAAAAAAGACACATGTCCATCCAGTTCAACCTATGAACATCATTTGCTGCTGTGTTTCACTTCCACTGTTTTCTCTCTCTAGCTTCTTCTACTTGTTCTTCAGCACCTACTCTATCAACAAGGTTTTATTAGTACTGAAGCTTCTTAAAAGCCTGCTGAAGCTTGCAACAGCTTGATTAACCATTTCAGCTCTTACACCTGTAGCCGTCTATGGGCTAAAGCATTTGCATACCTTTCTGCTATTGGCCTACAGATTCGGCAATAACATTGTCTTACTTAAGGTAACAAAGTAATGCATATATCATTTTTGCGAACAAATAAGGCTTTCTTTTGACGATATTGTCTTGCAAAACTGATTTGACTTTTTATGCAATCCATAGACAAAAAACATAAGAAAACAAAAAAAACTTTTTTCTAGTTAAAAAAAAGGCATTAACAGTAGTTAAAAAGTATTTTTTTTATTCTAAAATTTGTTTCATTTAAAATTACACTATAATTATTATTCTGGTACAAAAGATTGCCAATGTAATTACAAGTGAAATATTTTTTTTTCTTTTCTGTTTGCACTTTTTAAAAAAAGTAAAAAAATGTAACAAAACAAATAGAAACAAAAAAGTTTAAATATTAAAGCAGAAGTGTTAGAAATTAGAGGTCAGTTAGTGCTGATTTGGGTAAACTAAGGGTTAATAATGAAGTAAATAGAAAACTATTTTCATTTTTTTTTACAGTTTTTTGAAACTTTTGCTTTAACGGACATTAAATACAGATCGAAGCTTTTCTTTTTGATCTGCTGACGAATGAAATAGAGTAGATACAAAAAATACATATTCCCTCTGTAATCCGATTAGTTTTTTTTGGGGGTGTATAGTAAAAGTCAGCACTCCCATTAAGATCTGTTTAACATATTTTGAAGGGCTAAAATATACACACACACACACACACACGTCAGTAGATTTTACCAAGCAGAGCAGCACAAAGGTCCAGAACCAAGGCAACATGAATAATAATGATAATAATAAGCAACTAACACAAATTGTACGAGTCTCAATGCACACACTGAGAAAGAAGTGCATCAAACACAACTCATCACTTGGTATTATGTCTTTAGTCAAGGTACAACCTGGTGAATAGCTAATATTAGTAATAACACTGCACACGGAGGGGATTTTACCTTTTTAAAGAAAGGGACACGTTTGGTACTTGCTGGGGGAGTTGTTACACTCCCCGTACTGCTTTGGGGGGTATGCTGTGCACCCTGGGGCTCTGTTTCATCATATTCTAAATCAACAGCATCTAGATCATAAGGTAAAGGGGATTCCAGGGGACCTGGAGAGGAGGGTGTGGGAAAGGCAGGGTAGTGGGTGATGGAGTGAAAGTGGAAGAAATTAAAGAGAACAAAGAAAAAATATATCAGCATTGGAGAAACAGAAAGAAGGGAAGGGATAAACAAAAGGGAAGGAAGACACTGCAGACAAGGGGAGGTAGAGATCAGTTTAGACTTGATTTTTTTCACTTGAATAAATATTCCTGGCCGAGAGTCTCTCTCTCTCTCTCTCCTCACTGCTCTGCATTAGTTAGTGACAGCGGCTCCGTCCTCCGCCCTCCCCCGCCGCCGATTTCTTCACTTCTTCTCGGATCCCCGCTGGGGAGAGCAGGGGGATCCAGAGAAGCGGCGGGAGGAGAGGACATGGCGATCTACCAGTGATCGCTACGCGATCGACTGGTAGATCGCGATCGACCTTGTGGGCACCGCTGGTCTACATTATTAATGCCTAACCAGGAAGTGGAAAAAAACTAATTGTAAGTAAAAGAAAAAATGTTTGTGTTTAACTAATGAATATAAGATTATTTTATAACAGCATGCAGAGCTGCACACTGAGGTGATTTTTAGTTGAAGGAGGTAAAGGTCCACTTTAAAAGTTTAAAAGAAGGATCTCTGCAGACACTGATTTCTTTGAGCCTAAAAGACATTTGACTATTGGCAAGAGGAGCCTGCTGCTTTGACCATGGTCTAGGAGTGCTTTCATTCACCAATGTCTTTTTTTAAGCCTATAGCCGCTGAAGTAGGACCATAGAGGGTATGCATAGGGACGTGCGGTCAGGGGAGGCAGGTGAAGCAGAGCCTCACCTAGAATTATGGAGAAAAAAGCATGTCAGCTTCACTTAGGTCTATGTACCTAAGTAACTGCTTGCTTCTGTAATGCTCAGATGTCCAATTGCTCCCCGGTGCGGTAGGCCTTTTTTGGATGGGCCCTAGTATCCTCTGTTTTGACAAGATATCTTTTCGCTATTTTGTCATTCCATCTAAAGTGATCCTTATACTTTTAATATATAGTTACATAGTTACATAGTATTTGGGGTTGAATAAAGACATACGTCCATCAAGTCCAACCCATATAGGTCCACGCATCATCTCATTCTTAGGGATACTGGTATCCCTGGATATTACGGTCTCTAGTTTGCATTTTTTGTTACATTCCTTGTATTTAAGGAACGCCAATGCCGTCCCTTCCATCTTATATTTTATAAATGCCATTCTCTTTGCCTTAACATGTAGGTTTACAGTTTTATTTAGCCATATCGGTTTAGTCTTTGATCTCTTGTTTTTGTTACCCAATGGTATACACTTTGAAATGGCAATATGTAATGTGTTCCTGAAGCAGTCCCACATTTGATCTGAGTTTAGGTTGTGAAATGAGTTATCCCATTTTATTTCCCTGACTAGTTTGCGCAACGTATCGAAGTTGGCCCTTCTGAAATGAAGGGTTCTTGTCCGTCCCGCCCTCTTTCCTTTCCTGTATTTAATATTGAAAGTAATCACATTGTGATCACTACTACCCAGTGTCTCCCCAATTACAATATCCTCGATTAATTCCCCATTATTAGTAATTATTAAATCTAGGATGGCATTTTTCCTAGTTGGAACCTCCACCATCTGTTCCAAGAAATTGTCTCGCAACAAGTTCAGAAATCGGCCCGCCTTTGTCGAATATAAAGTCAGTCTTTTTTTTTATGTTTACAGAAAAGGTCCGTATCCCATTCTGGTATCTACCATGCACCCCACGTTTCACTATCTCTGACCTGGTTTATGCCCAGAGTCTTGACGAGTGAACACTGTTTTATTCAATTGGTCCAGATACTAGTATTTTACGACCCGGTGTTTCTCTTTAACGATTCTCCAAACCCTCCTCTCTTTCTTCTTTCTCTCTCCTTGCCTTTACTATTTCATTGATCTCTCTGCTTCTCTTGTCTGCTTCTATATTCATACTCGCTTCTCCCTGCTGTTACTCCCAGTCTTTTCTCCCAGTAGGTGAAATGTCCCTTAAGGTCTTATCCCTTAATGTACAGGATTTTAATAAACCGAACAAGAGAGTGAAGGCCTTTAGACACTTCAAACAGATTTGTGCTGATATTGTCTCCAGGAGACACATTTCTCCCAATCCTCCTCTCAGAAATACCTACATTCTAATTATCCTGTGTTTTCTTCAGCTTCGGCACAGACGAAACATAGAGGAGTCCTAATAGTGTTTGGTCGCTCTATTCCTTTAATTTGAACTTAAGGATCTGGAGGGCAGGTATTTGGTTTTGGTGGGTTCAATCCATGACTGCTTGGGTTTGGGTTTCCTTTCACATTTACTCCAAGTTGTTGATTCTCATGCTAAGGGAACTTTGGTGTTATGTGGGGACTCCAACCTCTTGCTGTATCCACATGTTGATCGTCATGACCCTTGACACCGGCAACCTCTTCTCTAGATATAGCCCCAGCCAAAACATTTTTGGTCATTATTGACACAATATCAACTTGTAGATTCCTGGAGAGAACTCTATCCCCTTAGAGAGCAATATACGTTTTACTCCAACCCGCACAATGTATTCTCATATCGACCCCATACTGTTACGTTCTATCACTCTCCCACAGGTGACCTTGGCTGCTATCTGCCCCGTAGCGTGGTCTGACCACGACCTGGTGGTGATTAACTTTAAACTGCCTTTCCTGCGTAAGGAGGGATTCACCTGAACATTGAAGGAGTCTTTACTCATAGATCCTAATACTCTGGCTTCTGTCCAAGCTACTTTTATGGACTACTTTGATTTGAACTCTACCTTGGTATCCTCCCCAATAACGGTCTGGGAAGCTTCGCGGTAAACTGATTCAACTGGCCTCCCAGGCCAAGAAAAAGAGAATGTCCCGCATTGACCAACTGGAGTCAGATCTTCAAAGGGCCTCCCAAAATTTCCAACAGGATCCTTCTCCGGGAAATAGATCCCGCTTGTTTAATATCCGGACTGAACTAAATCTTTGCCTTACACATTTATCTAATAACCAATTGGCCTGGTCCAAACATAGATTCTACCTTATGGGAGAAAAAGACGATAGCTTGTTGACACATAGACTCAGAGACCCCAACTATAGAAGATACCCCATTCAACTTCGCCTCCATGGTGGCCCAGTGACGGCTCATCCTACCAAAATACCTAAAGCTTTCCAAACTCATTTGCAATATCTATACCGAACTACAGGCTCCTTAGATAGACAACATGCCGATGCCTTCTTCCCTACTCTTAACCTTCCTTCCCTTTCTGAAGACTCCAAATAATTAATGGATGCCGCTATAACATCTGATGAGGTATCATATGTTATTAAACAACCTAAAAATGGGAAACGTCTGGGCCCTGATGGGTTTAGTTCCATTTATTACAAGAAGTTTGTAGATACCCCGCACCTAACCACATCTTTAACACTTTGCGAAATGGGGGTCAATTGTGACAGGAATCTTTACTATCGTTCATTTGTATGATTTCCAAGCCTGATACTGACCACGCCTCCTGGACTAACTATAGTCCCATATCGCTAATTAATAGACGTAAAATTGGTTACCAAATTGTTAACAATCACACTTCAATCCCTCCTTTTGGATTTGATTTCCAAAGACCAGGTTGGTTTCATGTTGGGGCAACAAGCTGGAGATAGTGTTAAGAGAATATCCGATCTTTTACATCTTTCACATCATAGGAAATTGCCGACTATGTTATTGGCACTAGATATTTGGAAGGCATTTAATTCTGTGGGGTGGGATTATCTGCATTACAACCTTACTAAATGGGGCTTTGGCCCATAATCTTTGCAATGGATTGATGCCTTGTACTCCACTTCCGCAGCCTATGTCCAGTATCAGAGATTTCGCTCCGCAACTTTTCCCATTACTAGAGGGACCAGACAGGGTTGCCCATTGTCCCCTCTCCTGTTCCGACTGGCCATAGGACCTTTGGCACAGGCAATATGACAACATAAGGACATCAAGGGTCTGGAGATGGCGGGCTACCATCACAAAATAAGCATGTTTGCAGATGATGCATTCCTGATCATCACTGAACCCTTAATCTCCCTCCCAAACCTCCAACCTTACTACAACTGTTTGGTGATCTTACAGGACTATATGTTAACATGAACAAATCCAAAGCACTCAATTTATCTCTTCCCCCACCCTTATGCCACCCCTTGAATCAATCCTTCCCTTATTTGTGGGTGACCTCTGCACTGCCCTACTTAGGGATTTACCTTACCCCTTCTTATGACCAAATGTATCAAGCAAACTGTCACGATCTGGATCAGGCTCGCAGTCCAGTAGCTGAAACAGCAGGCAAACAAGCCGAGGTCAGTAGCCAATAGGTATCAGGTATGAAGTGGAAGACGATGAGAGTAGTTGGTGAATCAGCAGCCAAAGGTCAAAGTATGTCGCTGTCACTAGGTGTTACACTTAGTGGCAGTGACATTGTATGCCACTAACCTACTACTATTAGCTTTTAGAGAAAAAAAGAAAATGTTAGCTTTTAGTTTTAGGCTGAAAAGTACAGAAAAATGTATGAAATCCTAGGCATGTGAGGTGTTTTCAAATAAAGGACAAATAAATTAATTTATTTTAATGCATTTCTTTTAGCTGTGCTATTTTTCTAAAAAATGTTTAATCAAAACTGGGGAAAAAGTGTTTTCTTTAAGTTTTTTCTTCTTTTTGTATATTTTATTTGTACCAAGTGAGGCGTTAGGCACACATATGTGATATAAATATATAGCCCTATCTGTCCCCTAAAAAAACAATATATAGTATGTGTGGGTGCGCTTAGTAAGAAAGTATATTACTGCCATGGAAGAATCACACAGCAAAAATGTAAAAAGTGTGTCAGTCATTAACAAACAAACTGGAAAAAAAGCTCAGTCATTAAGGGGTTAAATAAACTTGCATCAAGTCATTAAAAAAAAATAATCACATTTATGGATACCCTTATATTTGCAGTTAAACTTAGTTATAGATAGATACAATGGTACCTCGGTTCACGAACGCTTCTGTTCGCGAACAATTTGGTTCATGAACAGGAAGTTTGGCAAAATGTTGCTTCTGTTCGCAAACTAGGGTGACAAACACAGCCGGAGCCATCTTCCCTGCTCTGACACATGGTCGTGGCTTCCTCTAGTCAAGATCGCGGTCTGATCACAGTTTGATTCGGTTGGCGACCAATTCGGTTCGTGACCAGGATCGTGGAACGAATTAAGTTCATGTTCGTGTGTTTAATACATGTAAAGAATAGCTAGCAAAATGGGGTTTGATAGCATGTGATGTGCTACCTATGAATAGAAGGAGGACAGGATCGAATTCCTCACCTGTAGCTGGTGGAGTTGGTCTCCGTGTACCACTGACTACATCACCTAAACTACTGGAGTTTCCAATGGATTTACTGCAAGGCAAGATAAGGAGATGAGAAAATAGTAAGGTGGTAAAGGAGAACATCCGATGTGTGAGAGAAACGTGTGGGAGTAGCAGAGATGTGGTAGGAAAATCACATAACAGTATGAACGAGATTGTACTGCAGTCACCTGGTACTGAGCCGGCTCTGTCGCATCTTCTGTTCCTGCAACATTCTCATGTGTTCCAGCTTGACGGGGCTTGGGATGAAACCCACCTCACAGCCTTCCCGAACTGCTCGTCCAATCCACCAGTCATTGTTATATTTCTAGAAATAGTTCACAAGAGAAGAGCATTAGAAGAAGGGATAGTTTACTAATAGAAACTGATTTCTATGCTGCTATAGTATTAATTATTTGTTTCTATAAGATTATAAATATGATGGCTTACACTACTGACTTATTTTTAAAGGTGCAAGAATTGGTGGCTTCACTTTCTTGCAAGCAGCCAAACACACATCTAAAGTGTCTGAACCCAGATTCACTATACCCAGTAACTACATTAGGTTGAACCATTTGTATTACGTATCCATGTGGCACAGAGATACAAGGCCACTTTGTTAACAAATATGTTAAAAGCCAACTTGTCATGACGTAAATATATATGTTCTGACTTTCCTTGCCTGCTTTTCAATGGCTCAAAAAATGTTAAAGCCAGAAAAAACATGCACCTAGTTTTTATAAGAACAGCCGTGGCAGCCCATGTATTCAAAGTGATATTAAAGCTCCTTTGTTGTTTTAAATTAAAAATGTTCAGTTCCTCGTTCTCTAGTGGGTCCCTGCAGCACTCTCCCCGTGCCCCCTGCACTGGTGCCGCTATCAGCTAAGCAGCTGTTGTGGAGGCATCCGTGTGTGCTCGTTCCCGGCTGTGCCCGCAAGTGGCTGTGTGCATTCATGGAGACACACAAACCTGCGGCAGGCCATGCCCCTCCTCTTGGCTCAATAGGTTAATTGTTGGCAGAAGGAGCCTATGGCTCCTCTGCCCTCAATCTCCTCCCCCGTGACCAGAAAGTTCAGACGGAGGATCGCTTCGGGGACCGGTGGCAGTGACTGTAAGGTAATGCAGAGAATGCATTAAGGTAAAAACGCCCTGCCTTTAGTAATACTTTAAAGCCAAACTCCTGGAACAAAATATAAATTACACACCGCACTGGGTGTATAAATTATCATTAAAAAGCTGTGTTATGTGTGGAGGGCCGCTGCAAAGTATACAAATCTTACCTTGCAGCATGCCGTCTCATCCCGTGCATACTGTATAACACTGGGCTTCTGGGCACTACGGGAGTGAGGGATGCAGTATATTGCCCCTATTAGTAATGTCCTGATACCACTTTTTCAAGACCAAGTACAAGTACTTTCCCTCAGGTACTTGTACTTGCAGATACCAATACCGATACTTTTTCCTAAAGGGACATGTGAAATTTTTTCTAAAACAACACAGACTGATGATTTTAGGGCAGTTTCTCACCAGAGGTAAATACAGATGTCCCCAGAGCACAATACATGTCCCCAAAGCACAATACATGTCACCAGAGCACAATACATGTCCCCAAAGCACAATGCATGTCCCCATAGAAAACAATATGTGTCACCATAGCACAATACGTGTCACCAGAGCACAATACATGTCCCCAAAGCACAATACATGTCCCAAGAGCACAATACATGTCCCCAGAGAACAATACATGTCTCCAGAGCACAATACATGTCCCCAAAGCACAATACATGTCCCCAGAGCACAATACATGTCCCCAGAGCACAATACATGTCCACAAAGCACAATACATGTCCCCAGAGCACAATACATATCCCCAGAGCAAAATACATATCCCCAGAGCTTCCCAAGAGCACAATACATGTCCCCAGAGAACAATACATGTCTCCAGAGCACAATACATGTCCCCAAAGCACAATACATGTCCCCAGAGCACAATACATGTCCCCAGAGCACAATACATGTCCACAAAGCACAATACATGTCCCCAGAGCACAATACATATCCCCAGAGCAAAATACATATCCCCAGAGCAGAATACGTGTCCCCAGAGCACAATACATGTCCCCAGAGCACAATACATGTCCCCAGAGCACAATACCTGTCCCCAGAGCACAATACATGACCCCAGAGCACAATACATGACCCCAGAGCACAATACATGACCTCAGAGCACAATATATATCCCCAGAGCCCCATACATCACACCAGGCTGCGATCTCACCGTGGAGGCATGTGAATCTTTGCAGGGCTCTGCGGGCAGTGGCTAGGCTATGGAGAGTTGATCGGGCTTGTGCCATCTCCGTGGCTGTACTGTGCTGTGTGGGGCCGTACATGGCTGTGCCTGCGCTGGGAAGGAGGAGATATAGAACCGGACAGGCATTGCCATGGACAGCTACTGCCAGGCCCCCAGCAGGCTGCCGAGGTCCCCACAAGTGTGGGAACTCAGCAGCCGCTGCGGCTTAAAACTTTAAAGGGCTGGTATCGGCCTTAAGGATCTGGGCATTTTCACGATTACAAGTACATGTGAAAATGCCTGGTATAGGGACATCCGTAGCCTCAATCATACCACTACCCGCCCATTCACAAAATGCCTTGTATCTTTTTAAAGAACACAAGGCATTCTGTGATTGTAGAAAGTGGGGAGAGGGCAGGGATGTAACATATCTTCTCTATTTACAGAATGCCTTGTATTCTTTCGAAAAATAGGCAACTGGCAAGTAGTCAGGAGGAGCAGGTGATGCAACTGGAGGACTTTACTGCTCAAGTTACATCTCTTACTCCCCACGTTACTTAGAAGTCCAGCACTGATGGCATACTGCAAGGTAAGATTTTTATACTTTGCAGTGGCCCTCCACACATAAAATACAGCTTTTTAATGATATTTTACACATCCAGTGCGGTGTGTAAATTACAATTTTTTCCTGGAGTTTGGCTTTAAAGAAGAACTCCAGGATGAACATCACCTTATATATTTAGGTCCCCCTCAGTCACAGCGAGCAAACTTCTGTAACAATTTGATTGCAATGCTCGCATAGATCCGCCCACCTGATGCATTTCGTCACTATTGACTTCCTCTGAGGCGACGGTCTGCATACGGTCTGTATGCAGACCGTCGCCTCAGAGGAAGTCAATAGTGATGAAATGCATTAGGTGGGCGGATTTATGCGAGCCTTGCAATCATAAATTTATTCTGACATACAACACTATGGGAAGCCTTTTTTTCTCCCTCTGAGCCCAAGAGAAGGTAGAAGTTTTACACGATTTTGGAAAGATAAGCCAGAGTTGGGAGAAATCTACCCCGATTTATTGTCAGATTAAAAACAAAGGAGAGGATTTGGTTCTATATATATCAACAAAGCGCTAATTGTTCATCTGAAATATGGTGAGCAATAGGAGTCGGTGAGTGCCGCCAGATCTTATCTTTGAGCACAGTGGAGACTGGAGAGCACTGATTCACTAATTCGTTTTTGCATTCACGGATGTGGTGTTGATTATAAAAGTTGGAAGATATATCATCACATACTTCAAGGATTTTATTGTATCCAGAAGTAATGGACTTCACATGTGGTTATGTAGATTAAGTGGAAGTTGTACATCACTTGTGAGATTTAACACAGGATTTTCTATATGTACACATTTTATGAGATGTACTAGCACGTTTTTTTGTTTTTTTCCCCCATGTTTATTATGGTTTATAGTGTCTAGACCATTAGACCTAGTGCTTTTTCTTACTATCATCAGCACAGGCATTGTGCAACACAGGTGTTGTGTATGACACAAAATCGTTTATCACTTTGTTGTGACAATTTCACATTTCATACTATTCTTTTCACATTTTAGGAATATCATTTTTGAGTTTGAAGCGCAGTGCTATTTTCTTTTTTCCTATTTTGGGTGTACTCACCTATTAACCACAGCTGCTCTTAAGAGTGTTATTTGATTCTTAGTGCAGTTTTTTTCTATCAAACATTCTACAAAGGCTGGCCGTTTTCTAAACCCTTTTGCGGGACAATTTCATGGACCAGATGGTTGAGGTTGCGACCAGGAACAATGCAATTCTGGATCTATTAATCACTAATAATGTGAATCTAGTTGCAGACATAGCGATTAGGGATACATTGGGTAATAGTGATCACAGGATGATTACCTTTAATGTTGGGTACAGAAAAGAGAAGTGTGTTGGTTTGACAAGAACGCTAAATTTCAGAAAAGGCAAACTTCGATAAGCTGCGTCACCTGTGTATGACACTAAATGGGACAACTTGTTTTTAACATTGAACACCGACGAGAAGTGGGATTACTTTAGGCCTCATTCACACTGCCGCGCATATACACGCGTATTGTACCATATGCAAATAAATGGCTCCATACACATAGCTGTGTATAGAGTTGTATATTTGTGTGGCGTGAAAATGCGCAAAAACAGAATGGAACCGAGATGCGTCCGGGCAGCGTATTTCTTCGTATTTTCCGCGCATATATACGTGTGTTGCACGTATATGCACGTACGTATATGCATGTATGCAAAAATGCACCTTCGCCTGTGTAGGCAAAAATCCTTGCACCGGCCCTGGTCCCATCCCTGGTCCCGCCCCCCCTCGACGACATTATGTTTTTCTGCCTTCCCTTCCGCTGTCTTCTGCAGCTTCCTCCGCCCACCTCAGCTGCCAGGCTGGGAGGAAGACTGCAGAGACAGTGAGACACCTGGCCAGAAAGTTATGCAAAAGAAAGTTCTATCTTGGTACATGGAGGATCTCTGTAACACCTCTCGCCACCACCACCACCACGATAACCGGGAGAAAGAAGAGGGCACCTCAATACCATCAGCTAAGTGCACTGTAAGTCCCTTTTCTTTCTTCCGCGCGTCACGTTACTGACCGGTGTACTGCGCGTCACGTTACTGACCGGTGTACTGTGCGTCACATTACTGACCGGTGTACTGCGCATCACATTACTGACCGGTGTACTGCACGTCACATTACTGACCGGTGTACTGTGCGTCACACAGCTGGCCTCTGTATTCTGCATTGCACCACTGACTTCTGTACTGTGCGTTGTTACTGATCTTTGTACTCTGCGTCACACCGCTGACCTGGCGGAGTCAAGGCCGGGGCAGGGTAGGGGTTAGGTGGGGCAACTGGTGGCGAGCAACTTTTAAGGCCTGGCTAGTAGCTTAGGACTTAAAATTTTGAGTCCTGCGCACGTACATACGCGCATGTACGCAATATACAATTTTGCGCTTGCTTTGTGTGTGAATGAGGCCTTAAGAAT